TTTGTAAAATGATAACAGCATTAACACCTATGTACAACATTTTCTGGATGAGGGAGACAAAAGCAGAAGTAATCTATAAACTAAAAATTGCTATTATTATGTATATATGTATGTATATATTTGACAAATAGATAGGCACCTATAAAAATTTAAAATAATAAATAGTAGTCAAAATAGGGGTGCTCTTAGTTGAGGACAAACCTATAATTGAATATCTTAGTTTATAAAAGAAATAAATTAGTTTTTTAAAGATTTATATTATTGCATGTTTATTCATGCCACAAAAGAATTAGCCAGTTTTTTAAAAAACCTCTTAGTGTGTTTAAATGCTTGTATATTGACAGTGGTATGTATGTGGAAGAAGATAAAGGGGATTAGGGCTAACAGTTGAGGTAAGAAAAGGGCTAAAAGGATAGATCTGTTAAAGAAGAAGCAATTAAAGATCAGTAAAAAGTATTAAGCATCTCTAAAAGTGAGTTGATTTTTAAAATTTGGTTTACACATGACCTTTAGAACATCTTTTATAGAAAGATGACTATACCTGGATATAGAAAAACTGGATTTTACCCAAAAGAGAATTATACATTGAGAATGGGCAATGATCTTGGGTACCCTAAGACTATTGGAGCCTTTAGTAATTGCTCCTTTATTCTGTTCCTTCTAAAAAGTGCTATGACCGCCATTATTAAAATAATAGTAGTTGATAAAGTCTCCATGGCCTTAGTTGTGACTTTTGGGTTTGTGCCAAAATTCATATTCAGTGTGTGCTGTTTAAGTTAATTTTAATCGATAGGGTATACTTATTTTAAAAATTTCATGCATTATCACGTGGTCACTATGTATGGCCTTTAGAGAGGAACCAGATTGAACGATACTAACGTTTCTTTAAAAATAAGTAAGTGAAGACATTTTAAAATTAAATAAGTTAAGATGACTAGCTGTTTATGTTTTCCAGATGTCTCCTTAGAGGCATGACATTATAAATGCAGGTGATAAAAAGCATATTATCTGTCATATTTGTATTGCTTCAGGATTTCAGAAGAAGGATATACCACTTTTTTGGTTTTTACAGCATTCTTCTGGTCCTCTGCAGCAGCCTGCACACTGAAGAGACCTATATGCTCCTTTGCTGGAGTTATTCATTTTTCAGGCAAACAGAAAAGGGCTGGGGAAATGCATAATTTCTCCTCCTCTTACCTAGTAGTAACATTGAGAAGATACCTTGTCCCCATTTTTATTACTTCTGAGATTTTATTGCTGGCAGCCAGATGTGCTGAAACTCCTGACTACAGCATCTATTCATTACGTGTTTTTAATAGGCTTAGAGAAATATGAGTAGAGTACATGAAAGCAGCTCAGCTTCACACTTCATCTGGGAATGCCCAAAAAGCTTACTGCTGTTTAGAATTCTTGCTACAGTCAGGAGAAAGCCGAAAGCTGCACGGGTACTGAATCTTCTACGACTGAATTAGAAGAATAATGACTGTACAATTAACTATCAGCCTCTGCTCATTTAAGCACAGTTTTTACAGAGATCAGGAGAAATATGGAACTTGATTGGCATGTTTTTATTTGATGGTGACTGCAAATAGATGACTATAAAGACAGGTGGTAAGGAAAAATAAGAGAAGGAAAAAAAGAAAGAAAATGCAATTTGAGACATTGCGCCAGGTCTGCAATTCTGTTTTATCTCATTTTCATGGGGTTTTTTCATCCCCACCAAATATTTTACAGAATGAGATTTTTGGACAAACGCTGAACAATGCAAGGTGAGTAGAGCTAAACTATATTTTATCTCAGTATTAATATATTCAGAATGATAATCTTTTATGACTGCAAAAAATTTTCTGTATTGAAATGTTAGTATTAGGGTTTTTTTAAAATCATAAATATAACGTTTTATGTAGTATCTTCTTAATTTGATTTTAAGAAGTAAAAGAAGCTTACTTCAAAGCCTAAAAAAATCTTGAATTTAACTAGCTTGACCTCTGAAAGATAATACAGATATTAGGCTGTTTTATTTTTTCATTTTCTAATAAATAAAATTAGCTTAAAATGTCTGATAGATGTTTTCTTTGTAGTCGTGGCGGTGATTAAATTGCATATGTAAGGATGGAACTATATAATCACGTGTGATTTGTTAGAAGATGTGAATTAGCAATCATGCATGCTCTTTGTAAAACATGCGGAAGATGTTTTCTAGGTCTAAGACATTTCTATATGCAGGGTAGATCAATAATCTTTTTAAACAAGCTATTTTATGGAACTGATAATAATGCTTTGTGTTAGGTTGGCTAGTTTGGAAGGATTCTTTGTTACAAACTGTTATTGCTTGTTCAGTCTGATCTTTTTTTTGTGGTGGAGGTTGTTAAATCATGAACATATGTTTTTGGTTTCTCTGGCTCGCACTGAAGGAGAATTTCCATTAAAGAATGCCTTTAAAATGCAGTTTTATCACCTAGTTCTTCCTCATTGAAGTTGTTTGCCTTTTGAGAATTTGTAATGTTAGATACCTAGTATGGAAAATACCCCATCTTTACTAAATATATGTGGAGGAAGACTGAGAAAGAAATTCAGTGAACATGATAATGCACTGAAACCTTCTGGAAATTAAGGGGGACTAACAGTGCACAGAATATTGAATGGCTTTGCTGGTCTTCTGTTTAGGATCTCTGAACAATGTGAGCCAGCCTATCTTAGAGATTAAAAAAAAAAAAAAAACTGTTAAAAAGTGTGTATCTTTATTTAGCAAATGGAAAGGAGGCTTTAAAAATTGGTTGGCATTTGAAGTGTAGACTGATGAAAAATATATTTATAACTTTTGTTTTGAATATGGAATAACATCTCTTTATTTTTTATAGTGTAGTTCTGTTCACTTCACTAATTTGATTTTGTCATATTTTATTTTTGGACTAATTTAAAATATATGACAGTATATGAAATATTAGGATATTCTATAATAGGCATCTGTATTTTAAGATATTTTCTTTTTATTTAATAATACCTTGCTTGAGTGGCAGTATTTTATGACAAAAAACATTCTTTTATTACATGTTATATTTAAATAAAGGACGCAGTATGGTTTCTAAAAATTTCCATGACCTGAAGCTACCAGAGTTTCAGCATTTGTATTCATTCTTTATGAATCTTTTCCTAGTTTTATTTCCATATCTTATTTTAATGCCAGAGTTTATGTGTTTAAAAATATCAGTATTAGGGCTCGGTGTATATTCACTTTAGAAATGATGCTATTAACAGTAGTTGGTTATTAATTTTAAAATATGGAAATCCCTATTTTTTAAAGGAACTGTGTGCATTCCTATTACCGTGCCTTTGCTCTAACCTCAAGTCTCTTTTCTTGTTGGCATGCCTATAATTGCAGTGGTATTAAAACTCTAGAATTTTGTGCTGCCACAATTAAACATTAAATTGTAAAATTTCCAGTGCTTTCGTAAGACCAATCCTGTCTTATTTTGATTCTCTTATCCAAAATTATCTAAAACTATTAGTTAATCAATAAAGAATTTATTCTGCTTTAGGAAAATAAAAGCCTTGCCTTTGTATGTTCTTAACTAATTAGTATTTTAAAAACTATATTGTTTCACAGATCTACTGATTTTTATAAATAAGCAATTACTTGATTCACTTCTAAAATCCATCTAATCAGTGATACAACTAGTTATTATATTAGAAGTATAAAAAGTGAAAAATAAGTATATGTGAACTTGGAATTAATGCTTTCACATATTCTATAATATGCCTATACATATTAATATTTTGGTTATTTATTGTGTCCAAGTGAAATGTAATGCTCTTTTAAAAATTTTATCCTGCTTAAATTTTTAAAATAATGGCATATGCACCAACATTTTCCTTAAAATTGAATTAGTAAGATGAAGATTAAAAAATTATTCTTGAAAAAATATCATTAAAAAAAATCAAAATATGTCATCAGAAGATATGGTCCTACAACAACTTTAAAATTCTTTCTAAACAATGAACTCTTTGACTTCATGGATTGGACATTGGTGGTTTTGAACATTTTAAGCATCAATTATATAACCATCACCTCTAGGCCGGTTAAAATATCGTATTTAGTGTTTGTATTGTGACATTAACTATGTCTTTTTTCTAAATTGATAGGAAAAAAAGCATCATAGATACGGACCATAAGATTATATTTTATTCTCAACTGCTTTTCAGGAGAAATTATTAGAATAAACTATACATTGATTGTAGACCGTATATTAATAGAAGGGGGATCCTTTCAGGTAGTTTTTAAACTGAGCTGTTTCGTTAGGTAACTAATCTTATCCCTAAATCAGCAACTCAACTTTCATCAGGGTTTTATATGGTAGGGCAGTTTACTTCTATAACATGTTAGCAATAAAAGGTTAAAAGATAAAAATCTCTCATAATAATTGCTACGAAAAATTTCCAAAGTTTAACTTGTCAAAAGAACAAAGATTTTAAATAAAACCAATAATATTTTATGTATCATAAGTTACCAAACTGGAGATTAGTATGGATTGATAAACTATTTTATTACCTAATAAATAATTGAAGTTTATTTATGAGTGAAAATAATTAGAATATTTTAGGCTGACTTTTTGTTGGAAACCATAGAGCATAACCCTTATGTTTTATACTGAATGTTCTTAGCTTTTTCTTTTATCATTGGGGTTCCTGAGTACCATTTTAGTGCATAAAGGAAGTGACAGGATGTCTTCTGTGGTTTCACAGCTAAAATAAAACAATTGCATAGCCAGCAAGAAAAAAAATTAGTGTCTGTCCCCACCTATAAACCCACTTGATAGATTTTGATGAAATGCCACTTTAAATTCTTGTTATCAAATCTTCTTACTGTAAACTCAGTTTTCTTAAATTATTTAATCAGGACACAAAGATAATTGCTTTTGTCACAGTAAAAAGTCCTCAAGTACTGAATTCATTATGAAATCTAATGTTTGTGATCTTGTCTTTGGAAGCCAGCATAAATACTGGGATACTAAAAGGTATAATTTTAGTAGAGTTGTCTTCACTGCATTGAGTAATCAGTTGCTTTGGGCAGTATACAAATGAACATGATAATAATGACTATATTTTATAGTAAGATTTATGGAAAATGGAGTTAGTATCCTCTAAGTTTTTTCATTTGCTGCTTTTAACAGTCTTTCTTGTACAATGAAGAGATCTGTATTTTCCTCTACATGTATCTATTTCTTTGTTGCTAAATGTGTGACAGTGAATTTGCTGTGCCTGCTGGCCACACAGGGGCATAATATAACTGGAATTTGTGCAGAACAGATATTAAAGACAGTCTTTCTCTCCATTCTATGTATATAATGAAATATGCAGACTTTCAAATTTTAAGAAATAAAATAAAACTTAGTAGACCAAAGAATATTTGGATTTGTTGACTTTTTAAAATTACAAATAAGGTAATCATTTAATCTGGTTAGCTTGGTGTAGTTCCAGTTTACATCTGCTGTCCTCCAGTAATTATTATCAGCACGGCTTTTCTCTCTCAAAGCTTTCTAGTTTGGCTCTAATCTAATCTAATTTTAAAAATGAAATGTAAAGCTTAAATTCACCTAGTGTTAATGTAGTGGATTCTTTCCCATTGAAACATTCCCCAAAATCCTAAAACATTAATAGTTTTAATAAAAGTTGTGTTTTCAAAATAAATGTTTATTTATTC